GGTCTTGTGGTAAATATGGCCTTGTTCACTGGCTCTATTAACTCAGACCTTTGCAGTTTGTTTTCTTTGAGCAGTAAACAGGCCCTAGGATTATAGAGGATCCGTATGTTCTGTATGCATAGGCTACAGCAGGCTGGTACTGCAGTGGTGCATCATTTCCTAATTCAAATTATGAATGGATTCCTAAAGGAGAGCAGGAACTGCAAGGAGTTGCTCTACTCTGCTATGCAGGGGTCAGACCAGCTGCTACCAGGTTGCCAATCCTCTTCCAGGAGTGGGCAAGCAGGGATGACAAGTCAACAAACCCTTCTTTCCTCTGTGTAGCTGTGCTCTCTTGGAGTACCCAGTCTCCGAGGTTCTCTTAGAGACAGTGCAGAGCAGGTAGCATTAAACTGTGATTCTACGAATCACCATCTGGCTCTTGACCTGCTCCTAAGAGAGCATAGCTATATGATGCCCCTTCTTAGGCAAGATTATAGGGTTCCATATCACCCTTTATTGAGCACCAATAAAATATAGTCCCATTTCACCAGCAGTGTAACTACCAGGCTCTGCACCCTGGATGGCACCAGGGACTGGCTTGGCTGTGGCAGCTGGGCTGGCAACTGTGGTGGCTGCCATTCTTGCACCCCTTTCAAATGGACACCCAGGGCTGGTGCCATAGTTGCTTACCCCATGCTATGCTGCTACTTTTCACCTCCCGACAGAAGCATTTTTTGCCCTGTACTTTTGGGGTGGCTGGTTTGCTTCTTTGCCTTCAGGCAGTATTGCTACACTTTGTAACATTAAGATTTTGCTTGTAGTAAAATCAATTTCTATAAAACATCCATATACCATGAAATCCCAAAACAGCCAACATACTGTTTCAATTTACAATCCACTCTGGATTTTTCTTAGCATCCATTACTTCATTTTAAAAAATGTTACTAACATTGTGATAGATTTCTAGCAACCTGCCAGGACATTCAGAAGATCACTTCAGCAGGATCTGATGACAATACATTATTTTTAATTAACAGGTTTATTATAATGATTGCAGATGCACGCCAGTGCTGATCACACAGGAGAACAGGATACAGTCTCTTTTCATGCTTAGGCATAACATGAAAAATGATGAGAAGGAGAAATTAGCTTTTCAAGACAAGGAGTGAACTGTCACCACATTAGCTTGGCAGCTTTTCATTCTGGCAATTAATCAGGCAATTAATTCAGGTGTAGGCTTTACTGCATACAGAAATAAGGGACTGTTTCTGTTAAATTACAGGGGCTGCTGCTCTTGAACAAATAGTGTTGACTGAACACAGTGCTTTCACAGAAAGCGCAGGATGTATCAGTGTTTAGCTGCACAAAGGGCAATGACAATGGATTGGATCCTTTGGTGGGAGCTATTTTTGACTTGATGAACTATGTCAGTTTTTCCCAGCAGGGAATTTGGTACCCAGTTTTTAAAAGAGGAGCTGAACAAGACTGTCCTTTTAATGTGTCAGGATAAACAACAACACTGTGTGAATCTTGTGGTTATATAGATTAATACTCATGCATACTGGGCTTGCACTGACCAAGTTCCAGCTCTTCCTGAATAACTGTTTGTATATTCCACATGTTTGATGATGGAGATAATCTAAAAAGGTCTAAAAGGGGGAGGACAGGGAAAGTCACAATAATATCTACCACAGAAAATTTTCAGGTAAACTAAATTTCTTGTTACTGCTCTACATTCCCAAAGATAGGGAATCAGATACAGTGATATCAGAAATTAATAACTTTTCAGAAACCATTGGAATATCTCATGAAATTGGTCAGTGGATTACTACAATCTTCCCTGTACTTTCCAGACCGTAGCACCCTTTTCACTTCAGCCTTTCTTGGAAAAATCTAAGAATGTATAGGCTTTACCCAATGCTAGGGGGTCTTAGATTATGATAGGGAGAATGAGAAGAGAAGTCTGAAGTTACAAGATTTTATACATTTAATTCATTCAGTTATTGCTTTATAAAAACCTAGAACATGATCTTGCTGGTTTATTTAGAAGTACATTGATTTAGTATGCATTAAAAGTACCCAAAAAAATCATTCCCAGTAAAACCCATAGAGAATGTGTGACCCATGAAAACTGACATTACTCTGTACTTTGGCATCATGTTTTCATTCAACTCACATAATAAATTATCAAAAAAAAAATTACTTACACACAAACATGCCTTCTCATTCCACTAGGAGGCAATCTTGTAACAGCATCCACATTGTGATTTTAACTTTGTAGGCACCTGATAATCCAGGGCATACTTGCAGATAGATACCAAAGCAACCTGGGAAAGAAGATTTCCATTTTCAGCTTAAGATCTGAGGACAGACACTGTAGTTTTTCCAAATGTTTTAGGAAAAAATCTTTATTGGACTCAAGGAAAGTTTTGTCATTGACTTGAAGGCGTTTTGCAACACTGTGGCAGACTCCTAGTCAAGGATATGGTTGAGCACATCTTGCCCAGGACACATTGACCTGTCACACTGCCTAAGGTGGTCCTGAAGTTTGCCAGGGATGCTGCTCTGGGCTTATTCCCAGTGGCTGCTGTCAAGCACAGAGGCCATGTCCAGATGAGTGTGGACGTGCAGTATGTGGCGCATAATTAGAAATAAGGAATTAAGATGTTGTTGTCCGTATACTCAAACCTGGTTGTCAAACAGAACTTTCCAAGAAGTTCAGAAACTGATGGCAAAATGTTAAAAAATTCTAAGTTAATTAGGGGCCTAATTCACATTTTCAAAAGTGACTTAGGCACGTAAGTCCATATTTTCAGAGGTATTTAGGTGCTTAAAGAAGCAATCAGGTGCCTTCTGGGATTCTGAACATTGTTTAAGCTGGTTAGGGACTCACCTCTCATTCAGTCAGATTGTAATTAGTTAACCCGCTTACACGAGTATCAACACATCAGTACCATGGTTTTCAATAATGATATATTTGGTGTACCCAAACCAGCATGACTTAGAATAAACAAGCATTAACTCAGTTTTCTTGCATAAATACAGCCTTGGGGGACTAATTAATGACCAGGGCGAAACTTACCCAGAACCGAGGGGTTCTTGGATCCCAGGCATGGATTGACTCATCTCTCCCAACAGCATAATTTAAATCAGATTATCTTTGAAATAACGTTCATATCTTGTGGCTCTCATATTTACCTCTCCAAAGGAGCAAGCAGCATATAGTCCTCAAAGTACAGGGGGAGGCAGGAGTTTGGAACTGTTTTCCTAATTCAGCCCCTAATTTGACTGTTTAATGTGGGCATGTCCCAAACATATGGCTATTTATGAATGAACAGGACTGCACAACAAGAATTATCATTTAATACAGGAGCACTGTAATAAATGCAAGTAGTCATCCACAAATCATTTAGCAATGTATTACTTTATATGACATTTAATTAAAACACATTACAGAATAATTATTCTTTTGTGTATTTAAATAACAACACTAATTAATATTAATGGAAAGAATGTCCCTTTTTATAATCAAATGGGAAAAAACATTAAATATTCGTGATGAAACTCTAGGTGTCGCTGTTACAGAACAAGACCAAAGCAAATGTCACTTTGCTTTTGCTTCCTGTGTCAGTGGAGAAAGTGTTAGTCTTTGTGCTGGGGTAATTTTTATTAATGTAACAGTGAGATGGGATACAATGATGCATCAGCTAAGCTTTTGTGAAATTGCCCCAAACTTTGCCTGCAGATTGAAACTTAAATTGCAAGAAAGGAAGGATGTTCTTGTAGCTCAAGACCTGGATTACAAATCAGGTCTGGTTTTAGTTCTTGGATGTGGCATGGACTTCCTATGTAACTTTGTATAAGACACTTCATAACATCACTTGGAATCTACCTCACTTTTCTCATTTCTAAAATGGGAGTAATAATGCTGACATATCTATCTTACTTTAGGCTAAATTAGTTTAGCACAAAGATCCTCAGATGTACAAATTGAATATGTGGTTATTTATTTTTATTTTGTTTTATTCCAAACTCATATGTGCTGAGCACAGCTCTACTTACTGAATGCTTCTCAGCTTTTTCAGCTGGGTGACCCTTATTTACAAAAAAAGTTTCCTGGTCTTCCTTATTGTAAAAGTAAGAATAACAATATATTGGTGCTAGAAATCAGAAGCCCATATAATTTATTTGCGCTTGTGTTTCAAAACATTGGAAGAGAATATTTCACCTTCAGGGGTAAAGATGTAAATGGAGTAGGGAAGAGACTTTTGTCATTTTAGACTGTAGGCAAATTTTCAGTGCTTCATGACTCTCTATATTAGGCAGGGTCTTGTCCAACTGGTTAAGAAACAGTGCCTCAATGTACGATGGCACAGCTGTGTACACTTATGGCACTTTTGAAATAAAACCAACCAGCCAACCATCATTCATAAATGAAAAATGTTGGCATACAGCATTTCTAACTTTTCTTCTACTTTTTTTCTATTTTCATACCTGGAATATAAAATCTGCAGGGCAGAGACTGTCTCTTACTGTGGATTTGCACTTGGACTGCACTCTTACTGTGGTCTCAAACTGTGGACCTGTGCACAATACATCCTCAATCTTGTTTGCAGGCATTGGGTGGTAGCTATTGTAATTCAGTTATAAAAAGAAAATGCCGTTAATTTCCCTTCACTCATGTGATATGCCAGGATAAGCCATTTGTGTGACATACTGAATGAAAACAGTTTTGACCACTGAGGCCCCTGATAGATATTATGTATATCATGCAATAAACTAGTTAATCACACAGTAAATTTAGACTGGCCACACATGCAAAGTAAGACAGGCCACAAACAGAAAATAATTATCACACAATTAACTGGTTAATCAGACAATACATTTAGACCAACTACAGTGTGAAGTAATTATCACAGATAAAGATGACTATTTAGCTACAAAAAGTTAGTCCTTGAAAATGTGTAACAACTTTAGAGCTGGTTTCTATCCAGCTTTAATCTGAACCTGTAACAGGGCCCTGATTATTGTAGTCTGCGCTTTGTTGGACCTTTTGTCCATTATGCGCAAGTCTGCAGTACCTTCATGCTGTGCCTGGGCCTGATGCCAAAAAAGGCACTCCCTAGCACTTTCTTCCTCTCCCCATGTACCAAATTCCAGCACTGAGACAACAGACCTGCCCTAGGGCAGGGGAGAGTGGGTGCACCTGAGACAGTCTGCAAGGGGCTCTGAGGCAGGGGCTCAGCTACCTTGCTTCTGGGGTTTGATGTGTGCTGAGCAGCAGCTTGCTGTTCAAGAGCTCTCAAGCCACCTCCTATGAGTCAGCATCTCCCCTATTTCCTGTGTATTTGAGAGCAACTCCCTCTTCTTAAGACTTGTATTTTCTCATTTTAGGTTTGAATTAGCTGCAGTCAAGGACAAATCCTGTTTCAGTGGTTATGAGGTACTGCAGACTAACAGAACCATTGCAGTGCCCCATGTAGGCATGGTGATACACACAGGGTGCAAATTAAGGGGAAGCTCGTGGGGGCTGAGCTCCCCCATAGGAGACAAGAATCCCCCTGTAAGATTTGACAATCATAACCTGGGAGGTCTCCGATCAGATTGCTCCTTCATTTAGGTGGACTTGTTAATCAACTAACTGGTTTAATTTTTTTTTTCAGACCCCTCCCAAGAGTCAAAGTGTAATTTGAATCCTGGATACACATCCTAGTATGAGGACAGGACTAGCTGGAAGACCCGATTCTCTGCATAGCTCCCCTCATAATGAAATAGGGGGCATGAACTAGGACAAGTGTCTCACCATGTCTGTCTGGCACTGGCTGTTCCTGGGTTGTACTGGCAATTGAGGAATGGTTCTGTAGTCACTCCATGGACTTGGGGCCCTTCTTCTGGTGCATCTCTTCAGCTCAAGCGAATCTAGCTTTTATGTAAGGGAAGGGTTGCTCTGGTGGCCCCTGGCACTGAAGATTAATAACAAAGGAGTTGGAAAAACACTATCCACAACCAGACAGAACAGAAGACAAGCAAAGACCTTCATATATACTTTCACGTAATGTCTGAAGAGTTGCTCTGATTCTGGGACCGTTCTTAATGAAAGAAAAGATAACATAATATTGGCCCACGTTGGCCCCTGTGCTGGTAAAATTTTACAGAGAGTTGATGTGAATGTGGAATTACAATGGAACTCTATGAATACCATTATTTCAACCCCACGAATAGCAAAGGAGTTCATATGGAGCTGTATTAGACTGACTGTGAAACAGATTAATGAAGGTCAGTCAGGCTAAGTACAGATGTTCAAAAAGCCTCTTCTAGAAAGCGTTCTAACTATACACTTTACTTAAAATGCTAAAAGTTAGAGTGTGTTCCAACCAAACAGACATGTGCTCTTTGGTGAGTGGGGCTTGCCTGCCTGAACTAGCCAAGGCTACTAAGTGGGAGGCACTCCTCCATGCCTCCCAGGATGCTGCCAGAGGGCCCCCCACCAGCCCTGCCTCCCCACCAGCTAGGGACCATCAGCAGTAGCTGGAGGAGGGGGGCGGGCCCTTGCCACATGGACATGGCCTAGCTCCCAGCCAGGCCCCGGGCAATAAACTGTGTGTGGGGGAGGAGGGACTCCCTCCCCACAGGTGCAGCCAGCAGTGACAGCACAAGTTCCCTGTACCAATTTTCCCTGCACTGGGCATTCTGGTGAGGGTGTGGTGGAAAAGGAGCCCCCTTGCTGGATGAAGTCCGTCCCGCCCCGATTCTTGGCTTTGGTCTTGATAGGAGCATGGCTGGGCCCATGCCACAGGGGGGCTTCTTTTCTACCCCTCTCCCACAACCAGATGGCAAAAAATGGCACAGAGAACTTGCACTGCTGCTGCCGGCTGCAATTGAGGGAAAGGTGCCTCTGGCTTGGCACCCACGAGACCCCAACCAGCAAGCTGGGGGGGACCACCTAGCAAGAGGGTTCCTGTTCCACCGCCATCTCCATCAGTGTTCCTGGAGCAGCAAACACAGGGCTGGGCAGCTCTCTTGCAGGTGCTTGCTGCCATTGTCAAGAGGCTTGGGTGGAGGTAGAAGGGAGGTCCCCATGCTGTGGGGTCCAGGCCCAGCCCCCGCAAGGACCTCATCTAGGAGGCTGTGGTGGGGCCCTCGCAGTGGGGGTTGGGGGACTCCCTTTTCCCCCTCAGCTTCTTGACAGCAGCTGCAGCAGAGCTACTTGGCCCTGTGCTGTGCTACACTGGGAACTCTGGTGGGGGTAGGTGGTGGAAAAGGAGACCCTTGCTGGGCAGCCCCTGGGGGAGGGTTGAGTTGGGCCTCCCTGACGCATGGGGGCTCCTTTCC